GGCGGGAGGAAGCGCGGGAGGCTCGACTTCTCGTAAATGGTAAATCAAAAACCGCTTCCTAAATCTGATTCGTTCTTTGACGCGTTTGGACCGCCATAGCGCGTCAGGCCCTGTCGGATCTGTCTAGCCTACTTATCCAACTTGAAACACACGGTCACCCCAGTTACCCATCATCACCGAGGTGTGCTTGTTATTCAGGCACAAGCGCTGTGCAGAACAAAGCTGAACCTTCACGTAGCGCCCATCTCAGATTCGCTCCATTCGCCCCCTGCAAATTGCCGCGAAGCCGCCGCAGGTTCTCACCTCGATAGTTGCAGAGCGATATCCATCAGTAAGACTGCATCCGGTGCACAATTTCCATTACCGCGATGGCATGGCGCCTCAAATGGGTTGGGGAGGACCGGTCGACATCACGACTCGTATGTACTAGGCCTTTTCATCTCCATTGCCTCCACCGCACACACACACACACACACCCCACCATCCCAACGTCAACAGCATGGCGGGCTCTGATTCTGACCTCGCTTTCAACCCAGCGGCGTATACACTTGCAGTGTTGGATTACCCCGGTTTATGCCCTGGTCCACGCGTGCGCTCTGACGGCACTTGCGATTCGTTCGATGGTGAACCATCGGTGTCCGCCTACGACGATTGTGGCTCCCCCGTACAAGCTCAAGATGACCTCGTGAGCACCCTGAGATAGTACGGTGCAAATAGAACTGACTGCAGTGCAGTGCCGAAACTACAGATGCTGCGACGTGTCATTGGGCGACCTGCACGCGTTGGTCGAGCACTTCGAAGAAGCTCACGTCGTGATCATCGATGATCCTGCCACCCAACAATTGGCGTTCTACCCAGATTCACTCGTGCAATGGACCGGTGGTGTCTTGCCAGCACATCATGGCACCTACGAAACATATGCGGACTACATCCTGGCTCTCACGAAGACGCACAAGGAGTACAAGTACGAAGCTACAGTGGCTACTCGAGACATCCTGCCCGTGTCACAGAATACCACAGAGGAGCTGCAGGAATCCGTCGCTCCAACGGCGGCGGCCCAAGACATAACCCGCAAGCTCAACAAGGAGACTCCCTTATCCGTGGACAGTGTACCATCTGACGCTGGAGTCAGAATTTCAACCAGCCCGGTACGCGTTTGCGCGGGTTCGTCACTTCTATCAAAGAGGTTTCCGTGCCCCGAACCCGGATGTACAAAGTCGTATAAGCAGGCAAATGGTCTGAGATACCACATGGCGCATGGGTCGTGCTCTTTCATTCCTTCCCGGCATTATGAAGCCGTGCAATGTCTCCTAGTCGAGAAGGGTTTGAGCCCCGACGCCAGACTCTCTGAGAACGATGCGCAAGAACTCAAACGCGAGGTGGAGCGCCGCACACATCCATTCGTGTGCGGCGTTGACGAATGCGATCGACGATACAAGACTTTTGGCGGCCTACGTTACCATTGCTTACACTCGGGCGAGCATGGTTACGGCGGCCTTCGCCTTCTCGCATCTGGTCGGCATCAATGCCTTCAACTCCTCACTGGCCGCTCGCGAGAGACTGCGCAGGCGCAGGCGCAGGCTGCCGCAGCTGTTGTTACGAGGGCGGCGACGAGTGGAGGAACCAGGACGCTTCCGTCAGTCGCTCGTGAAAGGAGATCGTGTAGCTCATAGTCATGCCAATATTCCACTTCGCTTGATAGTTGCTAAGCTCAGAGGCTCTGTTCGGCTTATGAAGGGGGTTTGCGTTGTCGGTATTACCGTTTGTCATGATCCATGCGCCAAAAAGTTCTAACATCTTTATGCCACCTGTTAAGAATTGGGTTGTATGATACGCATTATGTTACACCCGAGCAACCCTCGAACTTGGGAGTTGTCAGCGATGCTCGAATTCCCGAGGGAAAACCCCACAATAACAACCTACTTAATGACATCATGCGCTCGCAGACACACAATCATCGGATCTGCAGGAACGAGAGTTCAGCATTTTTTGGGAACAAAAGGCATCAGAATAAACTAACTTGATCTCGTACAAGGGTGAAGCCGGTGACCGGTGAAGGCCGATGCTGATTGCAAGATCCTGGACACATCTGCAGCGTCTACGTCGCATTCGCGTGTGCAACCTCGAGTGGAGCTTGATCTGGCGAAGTGTTCGCAACATTATTTGAGGATGTGTATGCCGGGGTTGACGCGGGCGTCGCAGGCACTAACGAAGGCTCATGGAACAGTGAGTTTGGCCAGAAGGGATGCAGGGCTGCTGGGTAAGGAGTGTAGGCTGTGTAGAAAGGCGGACCAAAGTACTGATACTCAGGCAGGTGTTCATGCGTAGAACATGGAGTCTGAGCATTGCTAGGCCAAGGCATGGGTGGTAAGTAATACAACGGATATGATGGGTGCCAGTCAGGACGAGGGTGGAAGGCTTCGTGTGACGACGGAGAACAATGTGAGGGGAGCGCGTTGACATCCGGCGTAAAGACTGGCGACTGCGCATCCCTATACACCGCAAGATCGAGTGTAGATTGCCAGACTCCTGTGTGAAAGCGTTAGCTTGCTTTTCAGTAATAACAACGTGTGCGCGACACGGATAGAAACACCGACTTGCATGGAGGTGATCCGGCTGAGGTAGCGTATCATTCATCGTCGCCTTCCATCTTGCGTTGCCGCTCGACTTCTTATACGGACCTATCGTCCCATCAGACATCACCATTCGATAGTCTATAGTATGATACGTGCAAACCTCTTTTAAGGCCTTTCTTCCGTTGCTTCCTCACGTTGCTGACGCAGGTATCCGTAATGCTGTACTTGACACACCGAAGACAAGGGCGTTCCTCTGTACACTTTTTGCTCGCGGACGCACAGTTAGTACACTGGAAATATCGCGGTAAGTAGTGGGAAGCGGAAAACCAGCCATGATAACTGACTGCGACCTTAACTTGATGGCGCTTCCTCGGATTCGCCTGATAGGGATCCACGCAACCTATAGATGTATCGTCAACATAGTACTGGTTTCAGAGGGAAAAGGCGAGCAGCACGATGAGCATACCTGATGGCGAGGTTAAAGAATGTGTGCGCACGGGACCGTGCAATTTGTGGGGACCGGAGTCTTGCTTCGGGTCGTTTGGTGCACGAGCGCCGTTGGATGCGATCATCGTTGGCGAGTCGAGGGAGTGCTGGGAAAAGGAGGACATCTAGCAGCAGAGTTCAACAACGGGTGGCGTCGTAGATATGCTTTTGTTGGTAGGAAGGTTAGCACGGAGTGATGACGACGGATCGTTGTTGGACGCAATTCCTCGTCTAGATATCTTAGTCGACCTGATTAACTCCTCCGTTCGATGAGCACTGTAAGAAGACATCGAACGATGTCAGACGGTATGTCCTTCCAGGCTAAGAGGTGCGCACCTGTTGGCGCACGAAGTCCCGCACCGTTTATCCAGGTGGGTTGTGTGATGAAAGCGTAAGTAGCGTACACGCTCAGGGAAAATTGCTCAACCTGGCGCGACACGTGGAAATGGAGATCCGAGACAGGGTCAGGCCTCAGGCCTCAGGAGTGCTCTCAGGATCAGCGAGTATAATAAGACCCTACGCTCTAAAGGTCTAAGGCAAGAAGTTATTCTCGACCGCGCGCTGAGACGTTGCTGAGACGCAGGGCTTTGCTGAAGGCCTGAAGCTAATATTAATGGTGTTGCGCGGAGACCCGCTGAATTCAATGCTTGTGTGTGATGCAGCTAAATCCGATGCAATGGGTAGAAGAGTACTCGTCTAAACAACCGAGCTTAGAACTGATTATTTAAAAACGTGGGAGCATTGTTTACAAGACCGTGAAAAAGAGTTAGTCTGTGTGGCCGAGCATTGGTCTATGTTGCGCCGGCCCGTCATTGATGTCGGAACGCGGCTGACGCTGGAGTAGCGTGGTGCGGCTCGGAAGCGGTGCGCCAATCGAGCGACGTACAACAGCGTAAGTACAACTTGTGTTCGCCATCCAGGCACATCCCCACAGTCATGCACCTATTGATATCTGTGAAATCCTGCTTTGGAGGGGAAGGTGACAGCGCCCGACTCCGAGCCTGCTCACAAACGTCCTCTGATATCTCCCCTAGCGGTCGCAGTCTCCTTCACCATCACCATCGCCCGGACCCTACGAACGAGTACCTAGCAAGAGCGCAATGAGATAGCTGGCGATGGAGACGATTTTGCGTGCGTTGCCCTGCCTTTGGCAAACTTGCCGAACTACAATATGTATTAAGTCGGGGCGGCGCAGGAGAATCTTGAAAAAGAGAACATCGAGGAAGAGTAAGCGCCGCTACCTCCACCTACGCCTGCGCCGCACCCGGTCAAGCGCACGACCCGGTAGAGGCCGAGGAAGTCCCGCTGCCTCCCCCAACCGTGCCACGTCCAAGCAAGTGCGAATCGGTCCCACCTGGCGCTCCCGCACTTCCGCCTGCATCTGTAGTGCACGATGAGCGAGGACAAGTTGAGGATGATGTTCCAGCTCCTCTACCCTCTGCGCCGCGTCTATCGAATCGCATCTCCGTCCCACCCCCGCCTGCTCGCCTCCTCCACTAGCAATGCACGACGAGCCCTCGATAACCTACGAACCTCTTCCCCCTCTAATACCAACCTCGTGTACGAGTACACGCACATCTATTCCTCCACCCGCGCGAGTACTGTCCACGCATGCTCCGCCGAACCTCGCACGATCATGCACAGTCGCCGTCGGCGTGGAAGCCAAGTGTGTCGACGGGGTGGTCACTTTGGATGAGCGGGCGAGGAAGAGTATTGAGTCGAGCGCGGCGCCGCTGAGGCCATCAGAGATGGAGGTGTTGTAAGATTATGATAGAGGTGAGCTATGAAGAGATGATAGGGTGAGAGCTGTGGTGCTGATGATGAAGTTCCAGATCCAATCGGCCCACAGTTTCAAGATCTGCCTCCGATGATGAATACGCCTCCTACTCTCGTCGCGCTTTGTCTCCTCTCCGATCCACTCAACATTAAGAAGTCAGGGACGTAGATGTGAAGCAGGAAGAAGATCATGAGCAGGCGAGGAAAAGGTCTATTGCGGAGAGGATTGTGAAGCTTAAAGGGATATAGATCCGCGCGCCATCGCCTTTGCTCGCCGTACGTCGCGCGCCCGCTTATGCTACCTCTAACCGCTGAAGGCTCAGACGAGCCTCAATCAGAGCCGCACGCGGAGGGCGCGCACGACCAACACCAACCTGGATCTAAGGACCAGCACCAATAACCTCCATAGTCCGAAGAGGAAACAACAAGCGCGGGCAACGCATCGCCGCTCGTCACGCCCCGGGTGGAGGGATGCGGTTTGGGATGTTATGGAGTCCCTACTCTTGTTTTGAGGAGGGTGTTGAGTGATGATCGTCAGACTAACTTGAGTGGGTCTTCGTCGACGCGGACGCAGAGGGCGCATACATCGGCGCCGTCTGTTTCGCACACTGCTCTCCCGCCTGTACTGCGTATGAGCCGCTCGTTCCGCATACTGCTGCACCGCCGGTACTGACTGCCAACTACGATTTCGACCCGGTCTATATATCTGTCTAGTCGAACACTGTCCCCGATACACTCTCGCGGGCTGCCCTTCCACCGGCCTGCCGACGCGCTGGCATCCCATCTTATCTCCATTACATCCACGCTCAACGCTCAACGCTCGACGATGACCAATCACCCGACTCAAGGCTGACATCGACGTTCTGTCAGCGACCACCCTCGCGCTATGCATCTTGCCCACGTTTACGGCGGACAACGTCGGCTACGACAAGGACATCTAGACCAGATAGGTTTCCTTCATACTATCCGGACTCCCTCACGTGTACATGCGTGGCGGCATGCTCTACACCGACCGCCATCTCACTAGTGCAGGGCCTGCATATCATTGGTCGCCGTTCATTCCCTGCGTAACCAAAGGACCTCCTACACGTGACGATAGACTTCTAGCGCACACAGGAGAAAGCCGCGGTGAAGCACGTTCGGTCGTGCTGTTACTTAGCCCTTGGGAGTTCAAACCGCGCGATGTTGCGCACTTAGGACGTGTTTCAAAGACGACGTTCGCTCAATTGCAGTACGTACTTCTGTGTACCATCCCCCATACTCGTTGCCCCTTATTCTTGGCGCTGCGTCCCTAGGACGCGCTGATTTCTCATCACGGCATGTGCAATGTTAACTTGCGCTTCGATTGTTTACCCATCGCTCACTTGGTCTTGGTCTTGTTCGTTTCTGATTTTATTGCACTAGCTCTATTTTATCATAGAATCTGCTACTAGTAAGATACAATTGTTTTGTCCACAGTACGTCACCTCGTTGCGATCGCGGGCTTGTTCATGTAGTCGTCTCCAATGAAATGTCATTTTCATCCATAATGCCATTTCATCGTGTGAGGCCGCTGCTGCCTAGACCTCACTAGTGCTATCCGGGTGCGTAGCCATCCTCGCCTCTCTCGTAGCCGCTACATAATGTCGCACGGCAGTCTTGAGAAAGTTCCCGTGATGCACGACGGCGGTATGGCCGCAGGCTTGCGATGTCGTGGCGATGTGTAAGGTTTTTGGGTCTGGATTTGATGACCCCGGGTCAGCGCCGGTCAGCTGCGAGGGTATCCGTATCGAATTGTATGATGCTTACCGGAAGGGTAGTAAAGGTGCGGGAGCGAAAGCGTGCGCGCTGCATGTCGCGCCACCCTGGGATGGCCTAGGGGATCCTTCCGGGGCCGCCGGCCCGAGCCTCGCAGCCGACAGACCAGAAGGCTGCAGCTGGGGAGGCGATGACAGACGCTGTCCCGACGTAAATATCAGGTCTGCTGTCATCGGCGGTAGCACTCCAGCACTGGCAAGTGCTAAAGGAATACCAACTTGTGCCGGCCAAGGAGACGACAATCAGCCTGGATATCATCGCCAGCGCCCTCAGGGCTATGCACTCCAAGTCGAACTCCTCGGCGATGACGAAGGAGCAGTTAGGGAAAGGTGCACTAGCCGCCGGCGAGCTCATCACCCTCGCCATCGCGGATAGGAAGTTGGATCTCATCGCGTACACGGACAAGATCAGCCAGAAGATCGACGACAAGCTAGAAGAAAGCACGCTCCGACTGGAGAACCACTTGAACGAACTCCACGCTCAGTCTGCGAGCATGCCCGTTGCATCCGAGAGTCAGGTTCGGGCTTCCGATGCACAGGCGTTCTTCGACGCAGTCATTTCCGGCGTCCCCGCACCGCCGGAGACAGACCGCGAACTCCGCGCGAGAGGGGCGGAGGGCATCCTTGCTCGCCAGGTCTTGTACGCACGCTGCGCGGGCGAGCTGCCTGAGCACGCCAGTTATCCGCCGATCGACGCGTCGAACGCATTCCTAGCAGACAAGTTCCGTGCTGCTATCAAGGAGGGGAAGCTGGAGGAGAAGGCAGGGTTCAAGATCGGCATCCACTCGGTGCGCCTCTCGGGACTGAACATCCTGGTCGAATACGAATCCACCGAGACGGTCAAGTTCATGCTCTCTGCAGAGGGCAGCGACGGATTGGAGCAACACCTCGGGTACTTTGTCAGCTCAGTCGGTCGAGAGGACAAGATCGTCATACGAATGGTCCCCATCACTTTCGAACCGAAAAACCCATCCGCGCTACGGGAGGTGGAAGCATCCAACGACTTGCCAGAGGACAGTATCCAACGTGCATCGTACATCAAACCAGAAGAGCTTCGAAGTATTGGCCAGCGCTACGCGAATGTCATGGTCTCGATGAAAAGCCCGGGGACGGCGAACAAGATCATCCTCGACGGCACAGTGCCAAAACCGCTGCCTCAGAAGGGAAGCTGGGCTTTCGGTTGTTGAAGCCCGGATGAGCCGTCTCGGAGCTTTGTGTCATTTCCATGTGAGCGGACGACGCGAAGTGACACCCGGCTCTCTGTGTGTAGGACCCCCAGGTGGCCTATCGTTTTGCAAGCAGCTGTCAGCCTGCTTCCTTCGGAAAGGTGTCGGCCGCGGGTGCTGTGACACATACCTCTCGCCGGCCGGCGGGTTGAGCCACAGTAACGGAACATTTCATCGAGGGAAGACAGCGCACTCCAAGCTTCGTTCGCCGCGCGCGTACACAGCCGCCTCCTGCTTGCCCTCGCACTTCAAGCGCACTTGACCGTCCTGACCCTTCAACAATCGCATGGTTGACGTAGACCTCGCGAGCGTCCCTGTGTCAAGTGCTGAAGAACGGGTGCGCCGCGAGCGCCTCGAGCGCAGCAGCCTGGGACGGCCAGACCGATTCCATCCCAAAGCGCCGAGGGTGTATCCGTGCGATGATGAAAATCCGGAGATCGTTCTCGCGCCATCGGGAGCCAACCATCCCGGCCCACATTGAATAGGGCGGTCGAGTTCGTGCAGGGCAATAACGGGGTCAGCGAGCATGAGAGCGCTGAAGAGCTCCGAGTGGCACGTTGCAGCGAGCGCGAGAACACCGCCGCCGAACGAATGGCCGAGCCTGGATACCCGGCGCGGTTTATCGTAGGTACTAGTGAGAACCGTACATAATGGCCCGAGGGTCGGCGTCGGCGGTAAGAAGTGCTGCAAAAGGCAAAGCACGTCGCGTGCGGTATCCCGCCAGTCGCAAAGCGCGCTGAAGTTACCAGCGTTGAGCACACCGGCATCTCCACGATGAACAGCGTCAAGCGCCTAACCTTCGGCAATGTCCGTCCTTCTTGACAGTAGGCGCCGGAGCGTTAGCGCGGAAGTACCGGTGTGCATACTATTCCCATGGGTGCACAGGACGCCGGTCTTGTTTCCGTTACCAAGTGATGGACCGGTGCACACCCAGCGCGTTGCGGTGATCCAGAGCATGCGCTGGTCGGGATCGATCACGACCAGCTTCACGTCCTTGCCAGCGCTTCAGGGTGAGCATTGCATTGGCACCACGGGCAAAGCGCGCCTCTCTCCCTAGGCTCGCCGACCTGTCAAGCACCCTCGCAGTCAGGTACAAATGAACCCACACGCGCTTTCCAATAGCACGCGCACCATATATACCCCAATGGGTCGACGAGGAGACTAGTGCGAGGGTTCCTGTTTTGAGGACAATCATCACGTAAGTTACGGCTCATACTTGCTTGGTAAGGACAAGCGTTGCGAGTGGTAGTTCGTAGTCAGAAAGTTCCGAAAGGAGAATGGAACCCGTAGTGCTTAGAGACGTACGTGCCAGAGAAGCGCTTTGAATCTAGTCATCAAATCGGACACACCAACTAGACAGGCGAGGCAGCTGCGTAGTCTTGACTTCGGAGCCGGGACCCGCCGCGCGAGTGCTGAGCGCTGAGCGCTGAGCTTTCGGGTGAGGGATGTCGTCCCGCCTGTATACCACGTAGACGATTGAAATATTGACTCTCCAAGGCGCCGAGTTGTGGCGTAAGGGAAGACTTAGACTACTTAGGCGCGGACGCCGCGAACCTCACAAACACCCGGTCCGCGGCTCACACAGCGGCTGTTTAACGTCACGGTCGCGCGCGCTTCTGAGGCCATTTGAGTGTCCTTTCTGCCATGCAGCACCTGAATAAACAACGCTCAAGGGCGAGCAGGAGTTGGACACGCACTCTCGCGAGCCTCGACCCTGCATGCCAATAGATCTTACTAGCGAAGCCGAGGGTTTGATCGGGTCCGACTTGGGTCCGGCCACTGCGCTAGGTTCTCCAAACGGACCGTTTACAAAGCAGCACAGACTGCGCGTCCTTCGCATTTGCCAAACTGGTCCACTCTCTGGGCGAACGTCAGGATCGCAACGTCAAAGTACTGCACTTTCCGACGATGTCCTTATGATGAGAGGTGGCCTATCCGCCGAGAGCGTGGGAAGTGAGGCTTCTAGGCCTGAACGGGGAAGAGCACTTCGTTATCGACATCCATCTTCTGCTGTTTCGTGCCCCTCATCAAGAGATCTTCTGCTCGCGATCTTTGCTCTTCGGGTGTGAACATGAGAGCGCCAGGGATGAGAGTGTTCATCTGCACGCTGCGAGCTAGCAGGTAGTTGAACGTAACTCTCGAAAGCCATGAGTGTTATGCTCTGTATCGTGTATAGTCGTAGCTAGGGCAACCGTCCAATTAGACAGGGTCTAAGCAAGGTTGTCGGACGAGCCACGCTACGTGTTGAGGGTATGTTGCTGAGAATCGTCGTAGCTCCGAGATTGACGGTGGGGCTAACATCCACATATATCTCCAGACTCGAAACCGGGCTCGGGGCCATATTCGCGATGAGTTGTGCTGCTGAGACTTGGTGTGTTATTGCTCTTGTTTGATATGAAGCATGAGATGACCTTCCATCATTGGATTCTTGACTTTAGGAGGCTCGTGTTTATCGTGTCGATAGTCTCATCGAGCATGTATGTCGCCGCTTAGGTCACACCTGTACTCGCGCTCGCGACACTGCCGTTGTATCTTTTGTCGCTGCTCTCTCGTGCATTACGCAGAAGTAATGCTACGCTGAAGGATCCTCGTAATATGAACGGCCTTTCCCTTGTCGGTCCAGGGTCATGCAGGGTGGTACACTCGATGGTAATACGGGGCATCGCTGGTCTTCCTGGGATCACCATCCGTTTTTGAACGATGATCCCCTCACTTATGTGCCTCGCTTGCCTGCTGTACTCCTCACCACATAGAGGTCATCGCAACATTCAATCAACTGTGCGCCCTCAATCGAGGCACAACCTATCTCGCAAGACGTGTGGCAGCATCTCTCAGCGCCGACGGCCTCCGTTCCATTGAGTGCCATCTGCTCGCTAGACGGTGCGCCAAACATGTATATTCGCTATAGTGACCACCTGTGCTCACGTGTCATCCTTCAGCAGCTTCATCCTGGTGGAGCCTTTGTGTGCAAACCTAGGGGTCACGGGCATTGTCCTACGGTTGGCGCGCTTCCTTGACCTAAAGCTGAGCTAGCCCCTTATGCTCGTGTTGGGTTGAATTGTGCTTCATCCGGCAGGAAGATGTCGGGGTAAGTGAATGATTGAGAACGCCGCATGGGCGCTTTGACTTGATGTAATACTTGAGCACGCGTGATCAATGTGGGAATTGCCGAGCAATACATACATCCTATCTATAAACAGCGGGGGTGCGGTGATTATGAGCGGCTTGAGCTTTTTCCCCGTCTCTCGTGTTGGTCTGACCGCACTGACTCTACGAGGCCCGATTGCGTCACCGACGTACTTGGCAGCATGTACAAGCTCTCCCTTCCAGGATGCATGGATTTAGAGAACGGTGTACCCGCACCGGGTTCGTCGTGGTCCAGAAACACGGGCTTACTGCGCCAACCAAAAGTCCCACTACTCGACGGATCGCTCGAGCGCACCATGGCACGTCGAGATGGTAATGATGGGGAACATGAAGTTCAATCCATCCGGGCCCGGTACCTGATCATCATGTCTTCGGTACATGTCCACTGATCTGTACTCACAAACCCTATAGTACAGATTGGAAATTGGCCCATACGGCGTCAGAGATATTCCATAGCACTGCTTTGACTGTGCATCCGGAATTTCATCCTCCAAGGACCGGCACTCATCTGTGAGTGAGCCATCTCCGGAGCCTAGGCGCGCTCCAGACTCGTACTGATCTACGCGTTGATGTTTCTCAGGCTGCACCAGCAACCGCTCACATCGGCTTTGCAACATATTGACCAACAACTGGTCCGACAAGAAGCCTTGTCGTCCGACTCGACAATTGACTTTCATGCCACAACCTATTCAGTGTATGCACTCTTCATCCAAAGCTGGATGGGCATTGGGTGTTGAAAAGCACCAGCGAGCAGGGTCCGAGACTGGTTCATCCAGATGAATATACCGCTGGAGATAATCTGTGAGATATGGAATGTACGAATATACCCACGAAATCTAACCACTGGTAGAGCCAAACCCTTCGTCCACACTGTTGTGCAGCAAGCGCAGACGTTTACCCTTGACAACGGGCACAGCATGACGTCCTATGTGATGGGCATGCACGACCATGGCCATGCTCTGCCTGTCGATCTTGCGCCGCCCAAAGGTCCCGCTGGGGCGCTGGAGCTGACCCCGGAAGCCGCGACAACAAGCACCTTATCCTGGCTTCAGCAGCGATGCGGGGGCTCAGCGTCAACATCAGATATGCTGCCGCGGCGATCTGATTCCGATCGCAACAGGGGCCATGTCGGCGGACCACAGAGGGCAACAAACACCGATAGCGAACGTCTCCCGTTCAATCTGGATGCCCGGTCATTCGCCTCGCTCAGGAATACTCTCTGGCTTCCCGATGCACCTTTGCTGGGGGATTTTGTTTGTCGATTTGATGGATGCGGGAAGACAGTATCAACAGAAGAGAGGGGACTACGTGATCATCTCGTCGAAAAGCACGGTGTCGTTCCGGGCTTCGCTGAACATGTCTATTGTCGCTGGACAAACGATGCCGACGTGGAATGCAGAGCCTTCACGACTTATCGCAACTACCGCGTCCATATCCTTGTTGTCCATCTAAAAGCGCTAACAGGGACGTGCAAGATCTGCAGTAGGAGAATGAGGGCATCCGGAGGCATGAAGCGGCATCTCAAGTCCTGCATGCGCGGTCTCACTGTCGAGGAGATGTGGCGTAAATATGGCATACATATAACTTGTATCAATTGTAGGGGACATAGCGGCGGACACTGCCACAAGTATGTACCACCGTAGGACATAGAGATCTGCAGATAGCCTCTCCCCAATTCACCCCTCCTCGCGCTGTGTAAGGTCGCTGTGCGCGATACCAAGAGATCCGTATAGTAAGCTACTGAGGAAGCGAATGAATTCCGACGGCCTTCTGCCATAATGTAGTTCACGACTTGTAAACCAAGTGGGAACGTCGCGCAGGCCGACGCGGTTCGGTGATGTTTTCCGCAACCAAGCCGTGCATGGAACGCGGCGTCGAGCTTCTCTGTCGCGAACGAGCACCTCGATCCAACCTCGATCGGCTCGGTCATCCTTGAGTGCTCATGTGATATGATTGTACCACGTGCGGCATGTGCAAGAGTATCATAGTCTACAAGAACAGTCAGATACGCATCGCTCAGAGTACGATGGTGTACGGCTACTAACCTGCAGGCTTCCTTGTAATCGGCATTGTGACAGTCCTCAACTTCTTGCACTCGTCGTCGCTCCTGGAGTAGTTGCCAGCTAGATGAAAATCCCAGATTTCCTCATAGAGTGCTTCATTGACAGCAACAGGTTCTGTAACGAGAACGTTCAGTGTCTTGATAGCATGAAGTCAGCGTCGCGGGTACGAGTAGTATATAGAAAGATGAGACGCAATGAGACGCACTCCGCCCACCCGCCGTCTAACACTTGTTCCTTCGTGTGGAGCGTCGACTTCGGCTTATTTGCGTCAATGTACGTCTCGAATGCGCGATCAGCATCTCCATCGTCGACGGGGCTCTTCTGCTTAGCTGCAAGGGCGATTCGGGGGAATAGGCGTTGATACACTTCAAACCACGAGCTCCTGGTCAGCAGCTTCAGTCGTTCGTTGCGAGTCTACAGAATGCGGATGTGAGTTGTCGTCCATGTTAGACCTGAGGAGAGAAAGTGCATACAAAGGCAGGCATATCTGCCCATTCTTTCGGAGTAACGGACTGCTCATGTTGCCGAAGAAAAACTTGACCGACGAAGAGCCACGTACACTTCAGCGAAGTCACGATGAGGTACAGGGGAACTCCAGTTTCAACAACTGGGCGGCTGCAGGTGAGGGTTCCTGGATGACCTGGATAAGCAGGTAGGCCAGGGTCCATGTCGATTCGTGCGAATAGCACCGGGTTTCTGTTCATAACGCCCATATCTTCGCGAAGAGAGGAATTCTCTTGCTCGTTGTTCATCTTCATCGGTCACGCGGGTACCTCTTCTCAAGGAGCTCGTGTTTCACCCATCCTACGGTAGCATTGGGAGCAGAAGATAGCTTGGAGGCGTGCTGAAAGCATGAGTGAGGAAGAAGACGTTGTATATATGGTTTACAAACCTGCCTCGGAGAACATCGATCATGGACGCTTGGCCAGGGAACGATGGGTCATCGTGTCTTCCCAGCCGGCGAAGTCCGCCAATGGGCAGCGGTCAGCTTGGAAGTACAAGACACATGCAGGTTAAACTGCGTACGCCAGGACCCGGTGTGGTATTGAGCGAGACCGTCTCGCCGGGCGAGGCAGCGAACGGCTGATGTCAAGTATCACCTCGGGCTGTTACAGCCGGTTAGCGAGATGCAGAGATACTGGGAGCTCAAGTACAGACCGGTGACATCGGGCGATGGTCGTTGATAGTTCCGTGAAATCCGTGAGACACAGTTGTGACGACGATGATAGCGACGACAACAGTGGGCATACACGAAACTCCTTCCCTCCCCATCACCGCGACGTGCCCTAAGCACAGTCATGTACAAGTCAAGGGGCAGCAGCGACGACAGTTTAGAGCGACGCCTCGGTCTCCTTTTGCCCGCGGATCTTGAAGCAACAGTCAGATGCGATGAAGAGAAGAGACTCGGACAGGGTCTGGAGCACGGTACCACACAGTTCTTGATCCCCTGCTTGCCAGGTGAGAGGATCATGTCATGACCCGGGGTACCGGGACAAATTCGGCTCGAGCAGCCGTTCTACTTATGTCTTTAGAAGCTTCATGTCGATTTTGTATGCCTTCATTGAGACAACGTCAGCGTCAATACGCTGGATGAATGGAAAGATGTCGTGAAAGTCAGGGTAGCAGAAGTGCAAGGGTGTTGGGAGCACCTTGAGGCGGTGGAGAGCATGAACAACACGACAGCTCACCTAAGCGGGGCGTCGTAGTCGGAGCGGCGCAGTGATAGGTCCGTCAACCTGAACGGCCTCTGTGGAGGGCGAGAGCAAACTATTTGAGTTGGCGTTCGCGCGAGACATGATCGGCGCTGATTGAGAGTCATGCGTAGAGATTGGAGATGATCGATGAAGGCGAGACTGACCACAGCCGCGCTTTCACCTTGACCACGATGTACTAGCTTCACCAACCGGGTTAGCGTATCGTTGAGGCAGACCTACACACCGCTGCCGAACTTCCTATACATGTCTACGTTACTTGACGAAGATCGCTTGAGATGTCACTCCACACCGCCGATGCCGCGCTTGTGGTGCTCGTCGCTGAAGACTCGCACTCTCTTAGCCCTTCCTCGCATGCTGTGCCTTACCTGGACTCGCACGAACATAGCTCTCAAAAACCGACGCGCTTTGTATGCCTCTCGCGGGCGTCTATATCCGGCGGAGGAGTGATAGCGAAGAGCGAGGACGGGTTAAGCTGTGTCGTCGCAGGCAAGTCCTGTGGGTGCCCTTCTGCGAACGTTATGGACCCCACACCAACATAAACGTTTCTGCCGCTTACAGCCCTCCGCATCCTGCTTGCGCCGGATACACCTACGTCTCTCACGCTCGGCCATAGGTCCGCCTTCGGGCGCGGTGGGAATCGGATCTACGTCTCGCGCCACGACGGATGCTGTCTGGGGTCGTGGTAGTGAGTCTCGACTTTCGCTGCTCTTTGGCTGGTACTGGTACTGACTTGCGTACCTAGACTTGGACCATAAAATGCTCACAAGTGCGCGCAATGGCGACCTGCTCATGTGGGATCTCAATAAGCTTGGCGTCTCCAAGAATGGTGCACATGACATTCCATCTCTATGAAGACCATCATACTCATACTTATCTCAGAGAAGCGCGCTCGTGACCACTTCCGCTCACTCAACCGCCTCGTTTTACCCCCAGTAGTACCCTACTACTGCCTCGCGGGCTTATCCGTGGCGACCTCCGCATATGGGATATCCGCACCTTCGACAAGTCGCTGATCTGGATACACCATGCTCAAGTCGTCCGTGCAGCTGTGCCCCCGCCTAGCACCACCAAATTGCTTCAAGCGATCGTTGGCCTAGACAATGGGAGCATCTGCAGGTACGCCTGCCGTCTAGTCTATCGACTGCGAAACATTGCTCATACGGCCTCAGATGGGACCTCGGGGTGGGCCACAAAGGCCAGTTAGACAGCATAACAGTAGCCCACTCCGGCGCCGTCCACTCCCTCGAGTGGTGCCCAGCCTCTCCTCCGACAACTCCTCCCATCAACTCCAACGGCAAGGCACCCTCACATCGACCGACTTCGGCGGCTCAACCAACGCCAGCGGCACAGGCTGGATTGCCGGCGCAGGCATGGACAGGAACGCCGAAGTCTGGGACCTGAACTCGGCTGGACATACGGCGCATATGTCTAACACGCCGACATATACACTGGCTGCATCGCACCCCGTGCGCCACGCAAGATGGAGACCGGGCTACGAATGCGAGCTCGCGCTCGTATCCAATGTCGGACTCGGCTGTCTTGGCCAAGAGGGAGATAGAGATAGCAGCGAGACGGACGGGACGATTACGCCCGATGTTGACGTTGGAGGTGGAGGAGGGGGAGCTATGTAGAGCAGCCCTGAGGTCGAGATTGTAGGGAGCAGGCAGAGAAGAGCGGTTGATGGTGGGTTTGGATCGGATGCGGTTGAGATTTGGGATGTCAGGAAGGGGTGGTTAGCCAAGTGGGTAGTACCGGAGTCGACTATTGAAGGCGGCGTCACAGGTGCGCATCTTACTGCACAATACTTTTCTATCTTTGGACTGACAAGTGCACTGTGTTATCACTTAGATTTCGCAGTAGGAGACTCGCACACGCTCTGGTCTCAGCATTAGCGCAAAGTTCTCTCAATTGCATTTACGCCACGCGTACAGGCCAATCGACGATGTACCGCGTTCATCAGCTTCATGGGACGCTGCTGGTACTTTGACATTCATCGCGGACGACTCTCCTTACTTTGAGGCTCCATACGATGACTTGTGCGTTGACTTTCACCTCTGACTTTCTTCTGACGCTCATGTCTTTGTTGTCGATAGGGATCCGGCTACGGCGCAAAACCGGCTTGAACGCGGTCTACGCACGAAGGCTCTGGGCTACGCCGTGCATGAGCCTCACCATGGCTTGGGATTCGTGGGACTGGACTCGCATCCGGAGTGTGTAGCCGTCTTCGAGCGGCTGACGAAGAGGTATATTATCGATGGACCGGATAAACATGCTATCTGCGGACACAATACCCGAGTATGCCCTACTTAATTCGCTTCTATGTGTAGCAGATGCTCACCCTATCTACAGGTCGCATCCGAAGTAAGCGAACTCTCGGCAGCCCAAATCTGGGCCTTCGCCCAGCCCCCCATATGACCCTCCCCCCCTCTCGCCTCCCTAATCCCCCACACCAGACACCCAGCCCCTCTCTCACCACATCCCTAACCTCGCCCACACTCCCGCGCTCGCACTCCGCGCCCGCCGCATTACTCACCGTGAACGAGATCTCATCGGCGGCGCTAACAACACACCCCTCGCGTCGCGCAACGACTAACGAGGTGCTGTCTACGACCCTTCTCGCGGACCAGGTCAAGGACGTCCCCATTGACACGCCGGCCGTCCGTTTTTGGAGGGGGGCCTAATCGTCGACGGGCATCATCGAGTCTGAGCTGGCCGACGCCCTCCGTTACGTCGTGGAGCGGGAGTGTGAGGCATGTTGGAGAAGGGGCGTGTGACGACTCTGCTTCAGAGGAGCCGGAAGCGCCGACATCGACTCGTCTGAGCACGCGAGTGTCGTCGTGTCTGAAAGCACCGGTGACGAGCGGCCGGGCGGGACTGGGAGCATCAGAATGATCTCGCCTACGAGTCCGCTTTCTGGGACGGGGAAGAGTGCATCGGATGGCTAGACGGCCGAGTCCGTCTCTACGATCTATGATCGCGGGCCAGGACCAACTTCGGTGGCCCGGCGACGACGAGGAAGGTGTGGTGAAGGGGAGGATGGCAACAGTACGCCCGCCTGCTAGAGCGACAAGGATGATGCGGTGTCGGCGGGTTTTCTTAAGCTCGTCCCTACCTCATCTTCCGGAGGTGTAGGGGGTCCTGGAGGCGGCAGAGGGGCGAGTCGCGCGGGAATATCGCTCTTGCGCCCTCGCAACCGCGTCCGTTCTCGCTCACGCAAGAACGGGAGCACCTCAAAGTCCAAATCAAAATCGAAGAGCAGAAACAGGACGAGCAGCCTCGCGATCCTAGCGAGAAAAGGCATCGGGTCCGCTAGTAGTCTTCAGACTATACTCGGCATCGGAGGCGTGAATGGTGTGGGAGGCGCGAACTTGAATGGTTGAGGAGGAGGATGAGTCTGTGGGGAGTATGTTGAGCGGTGGTAGGGCCAAGCGGGTGGTGTGGGTGTTACTGCTACGGGCGGATCGATGCTTGTGCGGTCGGCGAGACTTGCGTCGGGCGGGACGGGAGCGGGTCAAGGGCCGCTTGATCTCGAATCACATCATCGTAGGATCGACAACGACGACGACATTACTCACGAACACAGACCCGGCGAACTTGAAGTTGAGGAGGGCATATCGGAAGAAGTCGAGAAGAGGCGAGAGATAATGAGGGAGCGATGTTGAGATATGCTGAGGGAGAAGCTTGAGCAGCTGGTCGAGGGCGAAGATGTGCAGATGGGGTGTATGTTAATGTTGGTGTGTGGGGCGGAGATGGGGTTGGGGAAGGGGGAGAGTTGTCAGGCTTGTTAAGGGATATCTCGGTGAGCCGATTTCTACTATGAGGAGGAGGGTGTGAGGCTGATGAGACGTAGAGGTACCTGCAAGACCGGGGCTGCATACGACTGTGGCGCATATACGGAAGTACGCGCCGACGCTGATCTCCAAGACCCGACGAAAGTTCGAGTCTCAAATAACCACCATCGAACTTGATGCTTATACACTATCCCCTTCAGGCAGGTACAACTGTATACATCTCCTGCGGCCGATGCACACAAGCCGTCCCGCTTGAGTTCAGCACCATCTGCGCCGAATGCCGCGCTCCCACACTCAAATGCGCAATCTGGTTCGCATCCCCCGCACCAGATCACACCCAAGTACTGACGACCCCCATCCCTTCCCACACACCAGCTGTTTCCCAGTCAAAAGCCTCGGCTTCACATGCATCGTATGCATGCACGACTGCCACACCGCCTGCCACCGACACTACCACTCCCTCAAACCGCCCTATCAACTCCCGTGCACTTATATTCTCCACTATCTGACGAAAGTGGACATCGCGGGCGCTCCTTGTCGAGGTTGAGCGGGACGACTGTGCCTGATACACCTGATTTGAGACATGGAGATGAGAAGGGTGATAGTGGTGTTGGGGTGGGATTGGGGATGGGCGGGGGTGGCGGAGGTGGAGGGGAGAGGAGGGCGCTTATGGGGCATGCGTGTACGGCGGGGTGCGGGCATTTTTGTTTGGTTTCGAATGCGGTTGAGGTGTATGCGTAGTTATGCTTGTATTTGGTTTCGTAGTCTCTTCTTCCCTCTTGTATTTCACGAGCAAGCTGGCATCGAACGAAATCACCAGCGGTGGCATGGAATATGCAAGATGAATGTACGAGTATAAAAGATAGCATTGTGATACCAGCATGAGCGATAGCGAACACGGACCCTCCGAACCAAAGCAAGACCAGAGCAAAAGATGTCCACTACGACTTGAAGTCATGCGGTTGCCGCACGAGCTCCTCGTATAACATCGTAGGAAGATCACGGACGAGCGTAACGGCAATTATACCAATGACAGGGCTTGCTTCGAGCGGCGGGAATGTGTGGAGTGGACGCATCGGTCTGTATGCGTGGATCAGTCACGGTTACGGTTGCGGTTACGAGGGAATGGTATGGTGGAGAAGAGATGGTATGGTGGAGGAAAGGCACGCACGAGGAGGTCTTCATGACTTCGTCGCGGATCATGAGGAGCTGGGCGATGACGGGAAGGACGTTCGTCCACCTCGAGGACTTGTTCCAGCGGGTGTGTGCATGCGCATATCTTGAGGACGGCCATGCGTACAGGTTCATCAGCAGATGTGGTATAGAGTTCGAACACGGGACTCACAGGGGAAGGCGTAGAGCTCGGCCGAGAAATTCTTCGAGCGTTGGTACTAGTACAGTTCAGGGTCGAGTATCTTGAAGAAGGGGTCAAACAACTATGCAGATCTAGGCTCCAGAGCGAGACGGCATGCTACAGAGCGCACCTTGAAACCGTGATGCACTCCCTGCAACGTCGGCCGAGCGATCGGACACACCTCCTCGATGAACTTGGCGAACGAGAAGAACGCCCCGAGTTCGGAGGGCATGGTGTATAGGAACGATGCGGCGAGCATGTTCATGCCTTGCACGTAGGTAAACCTGTGCTAGTTGTATTCTTGTCGATCTACATGTCCTTGAGGTAACATGAAGGGGACGATAAAACGTAGACGGACCGTGGTTCCTCCAAACGAACGTGTCCTGCAGGCGGACGAAAATATCCTCACGCACACGCTCTTTGAATCGCAGTCTATCGCAGACGCCCTACGTGTGTTCAGTTTAGTGCCCACACGTTGAATATAAACGTCACAATGCACCTGAAGGTATCATTTCGAATCTTCTCTCACACTTCACAAGGTCCTCCGTAACATACTCCAAGAATGTACCCGTCGGCAACTCCGTGACCCTTCACAACAATATCTTTCACATCCGATGCATAATCGTACTATCCTAACCAATAACTTCATATCCGCAGCCCAAAGTCAAAGAAACAAACAATGCACACCGAGCCGGAAGGAATCCCCTCGATCAAGATCAGCCTCCGCGGCTTCTTCACACTCTCCTCTACCTCAATCGGTGTTCGGTGCGAGGATTGGTTGAGGAGCTTGTTGAAGGAGTTGGCGACCTGCTGTTCCCGGACATGGTCGCCGTTCGAGGCAAGGTTGACGTCTGTTATTTAAATAACTTGACACGCTGGTCGAGGCGCGTGGTGCATCGTGTGGCGATGCGACTTGGACTCGACGCCGATCATGGATGTTCCCTGCGTGTCTTCGGGTGCTCTAAACGCTGGCCATTATGTCTTGGTGCGCAACGTTGAGCCGTTCGTCACACTTAAGGATGCAGACGAGCATCTGAGGGACGAGATCGATGCTATACAGCGTCGATCGACGCGACTGACGACTACTGTGAGAGTTATGATCAGGTCTAAGTCCGCGCCGTCATGAACCGTCTTCTTTCAGAAACAGGTGTATGAGCACCTTGTTATACTTCTTTATTGTCATAGTGCACTCAACTCCGTGCTGAAACCTATTGCCACACACGCTCGCTTCAGCCGAGGCTGGAAAGACACCGCGTGCTTAGCGTTTAGGTGTGCACTCCACCACTACACGCAAGTGAAAGCATACAAGCCAAGAGTAGGGTACCTCTTCTCCGCGACATTCCTCTCTTCAGAGCATGAGCTTCATCTCCTGCTGGTCATTGTGCTTCGCAAGGTATGCCCCATTTACCGCCCAATTTAAATGCAAACTCATCGTGCTGAAGCATCTTGAATTAGATTCCCTCGGGCATATGTCTCTCGCTCTGGGCTATCTCATTCAAGCTCCAGGCCACGACCTTTTTCATAGTGTCTCGAACCCACTTGCTGGTCCAGATCTGAAGGTGTCCCCCACACCTGCTGTTGACCTTGCCGCGCAGAGGTTCTTGCGTTTCTACACTGATACAGGGCAAGACTCATGAGTGACGTTGATTGTTTTCGAAGTGCTGACATGTGTTCAATAGGGCATCGCTACTCCCATTGAAATCACGGCACCGAGTAACTGACTGATGGGATTAACGACCGTACGCGAGTGCTGCAAGGTCATCCAAGCCTCGACGCTCGATCACCTACTACGAGCGTTCATGTTGCAAGCCCTCATCCACCCCATCCAACCTTACCTCTCGTTCGGGGACACCAACGAACAGGTGTTTTCCTCGCATGTCCAACTTGCGTGGAACCGCATATCTGGGCTGATACGATCTCCGAACGGCTGCTGCTCTTGGATGCGCTGGAGGTTGAGCGAATCGCGCAACTTATAGCGAGTACCGACCCTATGATTTGAATCAGGTACGGGTCTCTTGGTTTGCATGGTGTCATGAGCTGACGGGGGTCCTGAAGGCGGCTCGTATACTCCGTCGCATCGACACCGAGATCGTACGGACCAGGTTCGACCAGCTCCTTGAGGCCAATACATCGTGTCCTGTTGTCGAGACTGTCACTATGCTTCTCGAAGTCGCGCTGGTGTTTGCCGTGGGAGATGGGGCTGGATTCGGGCAGCTGCTGTATCAAGCGCTTGCCACACTCTCCCAATCTTTGCTGGGTCCGGTCATGGAACTCGTACTCTCTACTCTGCGTTCCGGCACGTCCGCTATCTACTCCATCTGCGTGCGTGCAACTGACGTCTTCGTAGAAGACGAAGACTTCGCTCGCGATGCGGCCACCGTCATCCTTGCGACCTTCACGACAAACGAACAAGCCGTCAACACGACATTCATCGTCATCATTGGATCACTAGTAGCGGATTACGGAGGGTCTGTATCCGTCTCACAAGCGTCGTCGCTCGATGCGCTATCCGGCGCTCTCCGTAAGTATGTACACCGGTACGCATGTCGCTTATCCCGATACTCACAAGGAACTGACATGGACATGAACCAGCTTCCATCCGGTAGGATTCTGCTTGCTATAGTGCGCGCCGCATCGCAATGCGACGGTCCCGTTTCTGCTTGCACAGAGCGTGTCAAGAAGTAACAGGAAAGTTCAGGACATATCGGTCGGGTGAGTCTTTGCAAGCCTTCTCCTCGATAAGACCGCTGATCACTATGGCAGAGGTGTCAGCAGTATTTGCGACTTGCAGAGGATCGAGAGCCTCTGCGAACAGTCGTGGGTCGCACACAGTCACGCTCGGTGCGTACTTCACCCAGGATGTCTAGATGAGGATTGATCTGACGAGAGTGTCAGCTTCCCGATGTCTCTGCATCGACAGAGACGTAGTACGCGTCTCCCGTGACACTGGTAGCTTCAACCAGTCATCTGCGTCTGAATCTTGATACGGACTCTATGAACGACAGCATTCTAACCGAGAAGGGGATGCACGCACTCTTTGCGGGCTCAACGAAAGACCTCGCTGATACAGTTCGTTGTAGGAAAGTACACCGAAGCGACCTGGTGTCATGAGCGGGGAAGGTACACTATCCCTCATCATTCGAACGCGCTCAAAGCTGATTGCAGTTTCGAATCAGCATGACGCCTCTACTTCAAGTCTGACCAGTTTCGAGTTGACGTTCCTCTCCAGTCCAGCAGCACTCAATCACATGCCACCTTCGATCGCGCGACCTTCTCGCAGATGCGGAAGAGCTCGATAGCTTGGATGCTCGATGGTGGTACGCCGAGCCCGGCTCGGAGATGGTCAAGAAACTCCAGACACTCGGCGGTCCGCTCAGCGTCGGGTCTCCGTCGAACGGTTCGCCATTCTCCTCTCGACGCTCATCACACTACTCATCCATAATGCTGTTATACAGATACAGAACTTGTACTCGCAGACGTAGCAAGAATTGCAGGTACATTGGCTATGAAGATAACGGACAAGGATGACATCAGAGGGTCTTTGTGGCAGTTGAAGAGTGATAGTCAGTCGTTACAGACGGAGGTCAAGTATGGCGGTCAGTTTATTCCAACATTCGGGGTTCATTTCCACACACCCCGCGCATCTCCAACCCCACCCGCCGCACACACTGCGACTGCCTAACTCTACAGCC